CCCGAGGTGGCTGCCTCGCCCTCGGCCCCTGGCCCCGCGACTCCCCGGCTTGCCTCTGCCTCCCACCCCGAGGAGCTGTGCGAGTTAGAGATTCTGATTAAGGAGCTGGAGCTGCTCACCATCACTGGGGACGGCTTCGACTCCCAGCGCTGTGCGTGACCTCGACCGAGCCCACTGATAGCCTGCCTCTGCTGCCTCGTTGGCTGCATGCCTCCCCCAAAGCCCCTCCCTCGAAATGTGGCCAGGGGCTCAGACACCAGCCACCAGGAGCCCCAGATCCCAAATTCATCCCCCAGAATCCAGACACCACCATCCTGGATTTCAACCGATTCCCTCCCCCACCTTAAATCTGGACTTCATGGACCCTTTTGTCCCAAACTCTAACCTCCCTCCATCCTGAGTCCTTTCGATAAGCTAAACTCTGAGCCTCTAAACCTGGAATTCCATCCACCACAACTCCTAACCTGAACTTTAAGCCTTCTGCACAATACTACTACGATGCCCCGAGTCCCACTGCCCACAGACAGCCCCTATCTCTAGAGACGGAACCTTTAGTGTTTATCTTAAAGGGGAGTCCTAGATGAGAGGAAGGGGAAGTAGGTGAGGGTCAGTTGGAGTGTCTATAGGGGCAGATGGGAATTGTGCAAGACCCAGAAGTCCCAAGGACATTCACTGAGGGCTTTGGGACCCTCCACTTCTCCATGCGGGAAGCTTGCCTCCTGGTCACCCCTGACCCTGGCAGCCACCTGAACTAAGGTATGAAGTCTTAGGCAGACCAGGTGTGCTGATGTGGGCAGGATTCCTCTAGCATGCAAACTGAGTCCTCCTTGTTAGAGGGCAACGTTGTTAAATCCAGTTCTACTCCCAGAAAAATTAAATTGCGCTGTGAAATACTTAGTAGGCACAGGCTGTTCCACAGACTTTCTTTCCCAACATCTGGTCTAAGGCTAGCACTTGACCACTGGAGGAGGGCAGGTGGTTCTAAAAGGACCATTCCCACTATTGTGAAATAACCTTGGGTCATAATGGGTTTGGGGCTCATGTAGGGAGCACACAATTGCTTCCCGGAAGCTTGCTTTGAAAGTATTAGAAGAAGCCCTTATCTTTCCTACAGCTAAGCTTGTTTTGCTTTCCTGCAGATAAATTCCTGAAGGCACTGAAGGATGAAAAGTTACAAGGACTGAAGACCAAGTCAGCCTCTCTTTCCTGAGGAGCTGCCCACCAGAGCTTAGGCAGCTGCCTCCTTAGGTGTTAGTGCTTAGATAATGTGTCCCATTTGTTATTTCAAAGATTGTTATTTTCTGTTCTGTACTTACTGCTGTTCTCGTTGCTCCCAGCACATACTCCACATACAGTGCCAACTTGCATGGTAAATCTCATGGTCTCTCTCCTGTCTGTGCCGCTGCTGGGGGAGCTCTCATGGGGTCTGGAAGCTGCTGCCCAGCTGGCATTTCAGGGGCTCCCAAGACCAAGGAGGAAGGAATCCCCAACACTGCCAAGTCAGGAGAGGATTGGGGAAAGCCAAAGTTAACATACATTTGGTTCTGTTGCCCGTGTCCCCACTCAGAAAGGCTTTGAGTACTGGAACAAGGGGTTAGTTTTCAAACAGCTTTAGTCCTTGAAAATATTTTGTTTAGTTTTTTTTTTCTTAAATGGATTTTGGACCACAAAACTCTTTGATAACCTGATCAAAGTCATGGTTCTTCCTAGAAATTCATGTATTCAAGAAATATCTAGTATGTGCTAGGCACCCTGCTAGGCTGTTGGAAATG